CTGTTGTAAATCTCATTCCAGCTTTCTTGCAGAGGAGGATCCTAAGGTGCTTTGAATCAGATTTGCTCGGTTACCTAAAGTCAGTACCAGTAATTGTATTCAAATCTGGGTCTTTTGGATCTCAAGCTGTTCTCACCCACAAATTTCAGTGGTTACTGACAGATAGTGTATTAAGGTACTAAGGCTACAAAGATACAACCTCTTGGCTTCAGGGGCGCGTGGGTGGCTCAGATGGTTAAACATCTGCCTTCAGCTTAGGTCATGATCCCAGGGTCCTGCTATCGAGCCCCGCATCGGGCTCCTGGCTGGCAGGGAGCCTGCTTCTCCATCTGCCTCTCCCCCTATTCATGCTCTCTCTTTCTGTCTGTATCTCTGTGTCTCAAATGAATAAATAAAATCTTAAAAAAAAACAACAACCTCTTGGCTTCAAGTGGCTCACCGAGAATGTGCTCTTTCCCCATCCTTATTCTCTACCACAAAATGTCACAGATTCATGCATGGAATGACAGAATGAGAGCAAATTAAATGCATCCTGCCCGCATTTTATTTTGGAGGAAACTAAGATCCAGACTTACTGAAGGCCATACAACATAGTATAAGAGCCAGGACTAGAATCTAAGACTTTTTCCTCCCAGTTCTGTTCTTTTTAAACAACTGCTTCCTATTTGAGGCTTATGCTTAGAAAGAAGCCTGAAGTAGAATCCAGCGGTACAATTGGCCAAGAAGACCAGGAATGGTTAAGATGCAGTGGGCAGTGGAGAGCAGGTTAGGTTGCCAAGGAAGGAGGCAGGCTCTATCACCTAATGCTGGCATGATTCATGAAACCAAGTCTTCAGGACCTTAGGAATATTCATTTTGTTCATAGTTTCTCCTGAGGTGGAATTCCTCCCCAAAAATTTATCCCAAGAGGAACTCTGCTATCTCCTCACTTTACATCTTTCGCTTTTTACCAGCAGGGCAGTTCCTAACCCACTATAAGTGCCCTCTGCTGGAATAACAAACTGACTAGTGGATGCTATCAGTTTGTCATTGCCCAGGTTACAGGTTACTGCATAAGCTCAGCTTTGGGCATGACTTCCTCAACTGCTTCCATGGCTCTGCTCTGCTATCACAGTTTTAGTAAGTAGAAGTCACAAAGGCAAACAAGTACATAACACTCAACACCAGTTTCCCACTAACTCATATTCCTTTTTGCAGTGTCATAAATTGAGTATGTCTCTCACCTCTCCCTTAAATAATAGCATTTATTGAGCACACTATATCACAAACACTATGCAAAGTATTTTACAACACATTAGCTCACTTAATAAATTATCCCCGTAAGAAATGCTTGGACACGCATAAGGGTCAGTCTTCAGTGAATGCCAAACTTCCTGAGAGGATGCATTTAAGGACCAATAGGAAATCCAACACTCCTAGGTGGGGTGACCAACTGTCCCACATTGCCCAGTACTGGGGAAGCTTCCTGGGTTGCAGGACTTTCAGTGCTAAAACCAGGAAGAATTGGTTACCCTGCTCCTAGGAACGGGGTATAATAGTTAATAGTTAATTGGAATAGTTAATCTGAATTAGTTAATTCCAGATACATTGTCCTTCTTGAGATTCAAGATGGTGCTCGGATCCAGATTTTTTATTTAATCTTTAGGTCACGAAACAGATAAATTCTACCTCGTGAAGGGAAAAAAAAAGTTAATCTCATCCAAGAAAGGAGAGTGTTTTTTTTTCCTTTCTCAATTTATTAGAAAGGAACATAGCATGGAATCAAAACTCTTAGGATATAGACAGACCTGGATTTCCATCCTTTTTTTTTTTTTTTTTTAAGATTTTATATATTTATTTGACAGATAGCAAGAGCAGGAACACAAGCAGGGGAAGTGGGAGAGGGAGAGGGAGAGGGAGAAGCAGGCTTCCCATAGAGCAGGGAGCCCGATGCGGGGCTCCATCCCAGGAACCCTGGGATCATGACCTGAGCCAAAGGCAGATGTTTAACGACTGTGCCACCCAGGCGCCCCTCCATCCTGTCTTGCTACTTACTAGTTATGTGAATTTGGACAAGTGGTTAATCTTCAATCTCTTTATAGATGAGGATACTAGTAGCTACCTCACTGGGTTGTTAGGGAAGATTAAGAAAGGTAGCGATGCGGGGCGCCTGGGTGGCTCAGTAGGTTAAGCCACTGTCTTCGGCTCGGGTCATGATCCCAGGGTCCTGGGATTGAGCCCCGCGTCGGGCTCCCTGCTCAGTGGAGAGTCTGCTTCTCCCTCTCCCTCTGCCTGCCTCTCTGCCTACTTGTGCACTCTCTCTCTGTCAAATAAATAAATAAAATCTTTAAAAAAAAAAAAAAAAGAAAGGTAGTGATGCATCCCAAACTCCTAGCACAGTGCCTGGCACATAGTAAGCAAATGTCAGCCATTATTAGCCTAAAACTTTGTCCTCTACCGAGTACTCCTTTAACTAGACTCGCATGGATCTTCTCCAGAGCTACATTTCCTTTTTGTGTACCTTTTTAAAAAGATTACAAAAGCCAAATCTTGCTTGATATAATAAAGCCTTTCTAAAGAAAATAAAGAGTATCCTTCCCTCTCCTTCCCCTTGGGAAAATAGTATTTATGGAACATTTAGCATACAACAAACACTGTAGGAAGCATTTTACAAGGCGTTGGCTCACCTAATTCCCACCACCCTATGATCTGCACACTATATTATTTCTTTTGAAAGATGAGGATCCTGAAGCTTGGAGATTTTATGTAATTAGCCCAAGGTCACCTGGGGTGACCAGGCCAGTAATCAAAGCCAGTCCATCCAGTTCTGAACTCCCTTTTTTAATGATCTATAGAAGCCCAGTGGGGTAACTGCGCAATTGCACTTTGGGAGGGAAGAATGGCAAGACTCAAGAAACCTCTTGAGGTGACCCCAACTAGGTCCTGAGGGATGAACAGGCAAGCACCAGGCAGGGAAAGGGAGAGCATTCCAACCGGAGGTCAGAGCTACAAATCCCTCCACCTTTTGTTTCCCCTCTTTGAAAGTGGGGACTTGGGGCGCAGAAGCCCTTGGCTCGCCCAACAGCCACTCGCCTCTCTCCTCGCGACAGTTTGACTCCCTGCACCCCAGCTTCCCGGCCCCCTCGTCCCTTTCCGGGATGGGAGCCCTGGAGGAGCTACCGACCGGAAGCTGGCAGGGGGCTGGGGGCGGCGGGGCGTGTGTGGGGCCAAGACATCCAGACGGGCACGCGCACCGCAGGAAGGTGGGCCCCAACGTCATACCCACGTGAGCTCACTCTTTTTTCACACTCGACCCGCCCACTCTTTCCTTCCCGCAGGAGCCTGACCCTGGAGAACTGCACACCGAGGACCCAGGAAGCCGCGCACGGAGCCATCGCCGCCACCTCGCTCTGACGCCGGCTAGAGCAACCGTTACCAACCACTGCGCCTGCGCCAGCTCGGGCCGTCGCGCGAGGGGGCGGGGCCAGAGCCCGGGAGGCGCCGAGGTTGCCCAGGGGCTGGGCAGCTTTTCACCAGTTTAAAAAAAAAAAAAAGGGGACCCGGGGACCACGTGTTCAAAAGATACCCAATCACGTTTCCTACTCTGAAATCCCAGCAGGCCGAGGAAATGACTGGGTTGGGCTCAGGATCACGTGATCTGAAAAGGTAAATATAGCCACGTGGTTTTTCCTCAACTGCAGCAAACCTTGGCGCCAAGATGTACCTTCGTTGAACAATTAATGAGCCTGTGCGGTGTGCAAAGCACTGTGAAGATACTGTGGCTCCTGGGATGTAATCGCTACTTCAGAATACTCACAATTCAGTTTATTTATTCATTTAAATCTCAGCCACTGTACTAGTGTTTCCCATATTCCATTTCCTTTAATGAGCACCCATCAGATGCTCATTGAAATATTGTTAAAGGGGGGCGCCTGGATGGCTCAGTCGTTGGGCATCTGCCTTCCGCTAGGGTCATGATCCCGGAGTCCTGGGATCCAGCCCCATATGGGGCTCCCTGCTTGGTGGGGAGCCTGCTTCTCCCGCTCCCTCTGCTGCTCCCCCTGCTTGTGCTTTCTCTTGCTGTAGGATGAGTGAATAAAATATTTTTTAAAGATTTTTTTTTTATTTTGGGGGCGCCTGGGTGGCTCAGTCAGTTAAGCGGCTGCCTTGGGCTCAGGTCATGATCCCAGGGTCCTGGGATCCAGCCCGGCATCGGGCATCGGGCTCCATGCTCTGCGGGAAGCCTACCTCTCTCTCTCCCACTCCCCCTACTTGTGTTCCCTCTCTCGCTGTCTCTCTCTCTGTCAAAACACAAGCAGGGAGACTGGGAGAGGGAGAAGCAGGCTTCCCTCAGAGCTCGGAGCCCTACTGGGGCTCGCCCAGGACCATGACCTGAGCTGAAGGCAGACACTTTTTTTTTTTTTAAGATTTTATTTATTTATTTGACAGAGAAAGACACAGCGAGAGAGGGAACACAAACAGGGGGAGTGGGAGAGGGAGAAGCAGGCTTCCTGCGGAGCAGGGAGCCCGATGTGGGGCTCGATCCCAGGACCCTGGGATCATGACCTGAGCCGAAGGCAGACTGAGCCACCCAGGCGCCCCTGAAGGCAGACACTTAACCCACTGAGCCACCCAGGAGCCCCTGATTGAATAAATCTTTAAAAAAATATTGTTGAAGGGATTAGTTTTCTCTCTCCCCCAGCCCGGGGATAATGAAAAAGAGGTAGGTTTTTACCTCAGAAGATATTTATGCATTTCAATCTGGCACAGTAAATAATCAGTTATTGTTAATCATTCAGGTCTTATGGTGTTCACTCCCTAGAAATATCCCTCTAATTCAACTTCCAAGGCTAGAAGGAATGATGCTCACAAAGAACTAAGAAGAGACTTAGAGACACAGACAGAGAATAAAACAGTCTCCAAACCTGAGGCCTTTCAACAAAGTGCTTTATTGGAGGAGACAGGGTAAGGTGAAGGCCATGAAGTCCATGGGGATGATGCTTTCCAGGGGGGATACTCAATCACTTACAGTACTTCTTGGTGTTCAGGTTCTTGTGCTCTTTGTTATAGGGGGCCTTTGAAAAGCAGATGGCAGCCTTGCGGTCACAGTTGCAGATGAAGGCCTGGCACTTTTTGTTTTTGGCTGGAAAAGAGCAAGAGGAGAGGACTGAGCCAAGGTAGATCCTGCTTTGTCCAGTCTGGGGGCGGGAAGAATTAGCTGGAATAATCTCATAGCCATTCTATTGATACAAATTTAGGGTTGACAGATTTAACAAATAAAAATACCAGACTATCAGATAAACAATAAATGCAATGTTTGGAATGTAGAATAAAAAAATGTTCATTGGGCAATGTGTGTATAATCTGGCAATCCTACGAGTGATGTGTGCCTTTTGGGAAGTCCTATTTGACTTAAAATGAGCTTTTGGGGCACCTGGGTGGCTCAGTCAATTAAGCATCTGCCTTTGACTCAGGTCGTAATCCCAGGGTCCCGGGATGGATCCCCACGTCGGGCTCCCTGCTGAGCAGGGAGCTTGCTTCTCCCTCTGCCCCTCCCCCTACTTGTGCTCTCTCTCTCTCTCAAATAAATAAAATCTTTTAAAAAATGAGCTCTTAAAACTCATATAGCTATAGATCTCTGATAACGTAGGCAAGCAACTTTAAAGCAATATGGAAAACACTAAAACATATACTCAAGGCAGCAAAATATTGTACATTTCACCTTAGTGAAATTTAGCAAGGCAATTTCTCTACTTTATAGCACATATTTAAAAAATTACAGAATGTTCTTACACTAGAATATTATACAGATGTTTAAAATAATTAAGTATACCCATATGTGGAAATGTTTCCAAGATATTTTACTGGAGGAAAATGAAGGGCAATATATCCAACTGGTTATTTTGGGAGGTAGGATTATAGGCATCTTCTCCTTTCTATGATACACTTCTGAAGAGTTTGAAATTACATTACTTTGGCCTTGTTTACCTTTTTAACCAAAAGAAACAACAACAATAACTTTTAAAATGAGTTTCAATTTTATTACCCATAATTTAATTATGTACCTCTACTTATATTCAGTAATCTTTTATTTTATTAAAAGATTTTATTTATTTGTCAGATTGAGGGAGAGAGTGAGTCAAAGAGCACAAGCAGGGGGAGCGGCAGGCAGAGGGAGAAGCAGGCTCCCCGCTGAGCAAAGAGCTGGATGTGGGACTCGATCCCAGGACCCCGGGATCATGACCCCAGCTGAAGGCAGATGCTTAACCGACTGAGCCACCCAGGTGTCCCTAAATAAAATCTTAAAAAAAAAAAAATAAAGTCCTAGATCGAGACTTCAGGTGGAAAGTGTTTCAGGCAGAAGGAACAAAGGACTTGAGGTGGGCACATACCCACGATTACAATGATATAAACCTTATTCCAAGGATAAGCGCAAATGTACATGGAGCTACGAAATCGTTTGTGCCTCAGGATGGTGGGATTCCTGGTAATTTTTTTCTTGGCCTCCTGGATTTGAATTGTGGTTATTCCAAGATTGTATGTACAGTTTTGAAAAATGGGACCCGTCTGTGGGTTCATAGTAGAGAGTAGTGCAAATCCAGATGCTGGCCTAGCATGATAATACCCTTCACCTCTCTGAATTGTCTGCTCTTCAGAACTACCTTCCTGGATGGACATACTTCACCAGAAGCTCTGCATAACTTAGTGGTTAAGACCAGAACCTTCGATATCAGAAACAGCTGAGTTCAAATGCTGGCCCTACCGCTTAGAAGCTGTGTGATTTGGGGCAAGAAGCTATTTTGAGTCTCAGCTTCCTCACCTGTAAAATGGGGTTATTAAAACCTATCTCATATACATGCTTAGCCTAGTACCTGGGAGGTAATAAGAAACTCATAAATGGTAGTTCTAAGCTCTTTTTAATGAAATAATGAAGCTGTATAGCATGGCAGTTAAGAGCAGAGACTTTGGAGTCATATAGACCTGCGCTCAAAACCAAATACCACCATGTATGAGCTGTGTGCCCCATGGCAATTGGCTCAGCCTTCTGAGCCTTTGTTTTGTCATCAGTTAAATGGGTATAATAATACTACCGATCGCCTAGGGTTGTTGCCAGGATTCAAGGAGGCACAGCCTGGCACCAAGGAAGTGATTGATAAATGGTGGATATCATTACTATTATTTCCTCCCCTGTCTATTGAGGGTTGACAAGCCAACAAGAGACTAAACATACCACTGCAGGTGATCTCAGAACCAGAGCATGAGTATGAGTAGGTTTTGGTGTAGGGGTTGTCCAGGAGGAATTTACAGCTGTCCAGTTTCTTGGCTTCTGAGTAGCAGTTGTCGTGCGTCTGGCAACACCTGGAGAAGGGCAGGGAAGCAGGTCGGCCTCGGGAACAGGTAGGGATGACTTAGCCGACATGCTCCGGAAGATATTGGTCCTGTGCCTTGAAAAAACTTAAGTCCTTCATGTTTATTTATGGCGATTTAAAAATGGTGGCAGGCATATAGTGTACAATCATATATTCTGAAGATGCAGTGAGAGAGTCTTAACCACTGCAGTTAGAGGACAACTGAATCTTCACGGTGGTGTCTTGTGTTGCGATGTTCTGCCACTAGAGGGCAGCAGCACCCGCTACTACTTAAATCTCCAACCTTTCGCTTTTTCCTTCTGATAGAGCGTTGGATTCAGGGTCCTCTTGGAGCATGTTTGTTTGTGACAAGAGGTGAAAATATGTTATCTTTAGCAAATATGCAAATTCCCTTTCTGTGCTTCCTCGTGAGATCCTTGGCTTGTGCCCTCCCCCCACCCCACGGTCACTCTGCCTTCCCTGCTGATCGATCACTCACTTGTCCAGTTCATCCACAGGGGTGCCGGATCCACCCAGGCCACAGTAGCAGCCGTAGTCGTTGTACTCCTTAAAGGGGTTACTCCCGTGTATCGTGCACTTGATCATGTTGCGGAACTGCCACACTGCCCGCGGACTGATGCCCCCATAGGCAGCGGCCACTGCAAGAAGACACAGCCAGAGTTTAAATACGTCCTGATTAGCTCCGCCAGAGCCCAGGAGCCCCGCTCACTGCTTGCCTGCTCTCTGTTCCCATGCTGCCCCCCGCACCCCACCAGCTGCCTCCTCGGAAGAGAGCTGGACGCAGGAACCTGGTAATGTGAGTAGGGATTTTTTTCTTTTTGTAAAACGTTTAAAAAAATAATTTGTTATTGAGATAAAGTTCACATAACATAAAATTCACCATTTAACCACTTAAAATGTACATTTCAGTGGTTTTTAGTATACTCACAGAGTTTGGAACCATCACCACTCATTCCAGAACATTTTCATCACCCCCAAAAGAACACCTTGTACCCATTAGCGATTGTTCCCCGTCTCCCCTCTAGCAACCACCAAAATGCTTTCTGTCTGTATGGATTTGCCTCTTCTGAACCCTTCATGTAAATGAAATCATACATGTGGCCTCTTGTGATTGGCTTCTTTCACTTAGCATAATGTCTTTGAGGTTCATCCACATTGTACCATATAACAGTACTTCATTCCTTTTTATAACTGAATAGTATTCCACTGTATGGACAGACCCACATTTTGTTTATCCACTCATCACATGATGGACATCTGGGTTTATAATTTTTGGCTCTTATGAATAGTGCTGCTATTAACAGTTGCATCCTAGTTTTTGTGTGAACATATGTTTTCAGTGGGGTCCCCATTATTTATCCAACAAATATTTATTGAGCACCTACAATGGCCCAGTCACTGACCTAGGAACTGGAGATACATCAGCGAGCAAATAGAAAATCTATAACATCATTGAATTTATGTCCTAGTTGGGGGAGAAAACCAATAAGCAATAAATGAAATAAATAAGGGAATTGGATATTGTGTTAGAGGGTGGAAAAATTGGAACATGGTAAGTGGGATCTAAAATGGGTTAGGTGAGAGGGGCACCTGGGTAGCTCAGTCGTTAAGCATCTGCCTTCAGCTCAGGTCATGATCCCAGGGTCCTGGGATCAGGATCGAGCCCCACATCGGGCTCCCTGCTCAGTGGAGAGCCTGCTTCTCCCTCTCCCTCTGCCCCTGCTTATATTTCCTCTCTCGGTGTCTCTCTCTCTAATAAGTAGATAAAATCTTAAAATAAAATAAAATAATAAAATAAAATGGGTTAGGTGGGGAATGGCAGGGTTGAGATGGGGCAGGAGTATAAGGAGTAGTCAGGAGACCTGGGTGGCCTACCATCCTCAACAGGACAAGCTATTTTCTGCCTCAGGGCCCGTGTACCTGTTGTTTACTCTGCCCGGCATGCTTATCATCTCACTTTTCAAAAAGCTGGAGGATCTTGGTTTAAATGCCACCTCCTCAGGGCACCAGGATCATGGGAATGAGCCCCGCATCGGGCTCCACACTCAGTATGGAGTCTGTTTGGGATTCTCTCTCCCTCTCCCTCTGCCTCTCCCCCTGCTTTCTCACTCTCTCTCTCTCAAATAAATAAATCTTAAAAAAAAAAATGCCACCTCCTCTTTCTTGACCACCCAAGCCAAGTGGCTCTTCTGCTATCACTTTTCTTTATGTTCTTTGCTTCCTCGTACCTCTAGCAGTCTGTATCCATCTATTTATTTAATGCTTCCCACTCACTGGACCATAAACTCAAGGCCTCAGGGCTTTTATTCCCCAGGGCCTGATGCATAGTAGGCGCTCCGTAAGTATATGATGAGTTATATGAATGAAATAATCAACACACCAATTAAAGAAAGTACCCGGCACATAGTAGGTGCTCAATAAATATCTAATGAATATGTTTTTAAGAAGTCTGCTTGTAGCACAAGGTTTGGCACAGCAGACTCAGGAAGCAGGACCCCTTCACCTCATTTTCAGAGCCATAGCCTGTGAAATTTGGTGCCCTAAAGAGAAGAGGGCACTATATGATTTTGGGGTCCCCTTCAGTTGGCTGCCAGTATCGTCTCTTTGCCCCACACCTTGCCCTTTCTTCCTTTGATCTGTTGTGCACACTGGAGCTGCTCCATATGTTTAAACCCCAGGGCAGGGGTACCTGGGTGGCTCAGTCGGTTAAGCGTCCAACTCGCCCCTCCCCCTCAAATAAATAAATAAATCTTAAAAAACAATTAAACCCCAGGGCAAAGTAAGGGTGGCAGCTGGTCACTCTCCCCTCTGAGCAGCCTTCATGCTGGCAGCAGACAAGAGTGGCCTGGCCACCTTGGCCCATCTCCACACCTCCCTCCTGCCTCCCTATTTTCTCTGTCTCTGATCCAGCCAGCTCTGCTCTTTGCACAGGCCAGACCTGCACACAGCTCTTCTCATGTGTGCGCCTGTGTATGTGTGCATGTTTGTGTGTGTGTGTGTGTGTGTGTGTGTGTGTGTGTGTGTGTCTGTTGCCTAGGCAAGGAGCATGGCTTTTTCATCTGTGAGTCCTCAGTCTCAACCCAGAGCCTGATACCTCGGAGCCTCTGATACATCAATGTGGAATGAATGAAAGAATGATGAATGAATGAGGTGGGATCTGAATCCCAATGTATCCGATTCCATTTATTCATTCAATAAATGGCGCCAATGGCTCTATCCTTGCTCTCATGGAACCCATGCTTCTGTGAGGGTGGAGAATAAAAAGGAAATGAATTGGGGCACCTGGCTAGCTCAGTTGGTAGAGCATGAAGCTCTTGATCTCAGGGTCTTGAGTTCAAGCCCCACGCTGGGGTAGAGTTTACTTAAAAATGAATAAATAATTAGTTTAATTTAATTAAAGCTTTAAAAAGAGGAACTGAATCAACAAGAAATAAGATACAGATTGCAGGCAAAGGTAGGTGCTGGGAAGACCCTGTACCAAGGCCGCACGGTAGACAGAAAGGAGAGAGGTCTCTCTTCGTTCAGGTGGGCTGGTAGGCCCTTCTGAGAGGGATCATCTGAGTTCAGACCTAAGGCTGAAAAGGCGCCAACTGTGGGGGGACTTGAGGGAACCCCAGCATGGGTGCTCTTAAGCCCGATAGAGAGCCCTGGGTGAAGGCTCCAGATCCAGCCAGCCCTGTTAGCTGTGACCCCCAATCCCAAGGAGTGAGATCTTAGCACCGAAGGGATGGGACTGGGGAGTCTTGCCTACCTGTGAGTAGAGCAGCCAGTACAAGGAATTTCATTTCGTTTTCAAGTTGCTGAGCAAGAGAAATGACTGTCTTAATGGCCTCCTGCTTTATACCTACGCTATGTCCCTGAGATAAGGCTGTAGTGTTTGCTTTGCTCCAAACCTGCTCTGAGTTGGCCTTGACACTGTGGCAGGAATAACCTTTACCAACAAGCAAGCCCTATCAGCAAGGGATCTTGGAAGTGGTGTATGTATTTTCATTAGCACCTTTTAATGGAAAGGATTATTTCTGGAGGTTGCACGGCTTGGAACCTTGACCCTCAGCCCACCCCCTCTGCACTCAGCCTAATTCTGTCATTGCCTCCACGCCTTCTCATGGGCCTGGGTCTCAGCTGTGGGTCTCAGTGAGTAGTCCCTACCAATCATGCATTTGGCAGATGAGTAAACAGGTTCAGAGAGGTGAGGTTGACTTGCCTGAGGTCACGCAGCCAGCAAATGGCAGAGCAGGGGCCCAAACTTAGGCATGTCTGATTCTTTTTTTTTTAAATTTTTTTTTATTAGGCATGTCTAATTCTAAGGCACGTGTTTTATTTTTCCCCACCACATTAATGCTGCCCCCTCCCCCATTCCCCAGTGTAGGTTTGTAAGGGGCTTTGGAGTTCCAAAGGCTTGGATCTGACTTGTAGAATAAAAAAAATAAAAAAATAAATAAGGGGGCACCTGGGTGGCTCAGAAGTTAAGTGTCTGCCTTCTGCTCAGGTCATGATCCCAGGCTCAGCCTGAGGAGAAGCTGGAAGTGACTACACCCTGACGTGAACCCATACCTGCCTCTTCCCACTGAACCCTTTCCCTCCACCCTGGCATGGTTATGCCATGAGTCAGTACAGAATCCAGTGGCCTAATCCTAACCCGGTGGCTTCTGCTCAAGCATTCCAGGATTCCAGCTCTCTCTACTTTTCCCTTGGGCGTGCAGCAGGGCCAAAAAAGAAGAAATCCATCTGGAAGGGCTCCCATGTTTTGTCCCAAACCAAGAGCCCCAGGAAAATTCCTTCAGCTAATGAAATAACACTGAAACAGCATTTAGTAAGCAGATGGGGAAACCGAGGCCCAGAAAGGGCAAGCGATTTATTTGCTTGGGCCTGACTCTGCCTTCATTCAGCCTGGGATCATTTCAAGTCATCCAACTTTTCATATGTGTCTGAGGTTTCTACATCTGTCCAATATTGTAGCCACTAGCCCCCTGTGGCTACCTAAATCCATTACAATTAAATAATATATATATATATATATTTTATGAGAATTTTTTTAAATTTTATTCATTTATTTCAGAGAGAGAGAGAATGAGAGAGAGAAAGCATGAGAGGGAAGAGGGTCAGAGGGAGAAGCAGACTCCCTGCCGAGCAGGGAGCCCGATGTGGGACTCGATCTTGGGACTCCAGGATCATGACCTGAGCCGAAGGCAGTCGCTTAACCAACGGAGCCACCCAGGTGCCCTTAAATAATATATTTTTTAAAGATTTTATTTATTCATTTGACAGAGAGAGACAGTGCAAGAGAGGGAACACAAGCAGGGGGAGTAAGGGAGGGAGAAGCAGGTCTCCCACGGAGCAGGGAGCCCGACGTGGGGCTCGATCCCAGGACCCTGGGACCATGACCTGAGCTGAAGGCAGACACTTAACCACCCAGGTGCCCCACAATTAAATAATATTAAAAATTAGTTTCTCGGGGCGCCTGGGTGGCTCAGTCGGTTAAGCGACTGCCTTCAGCTCAGGTCATGATCCTGGAGTCCTGGGATCGAGTCCCACATCGGGCTCCCTGCTCAGCGGGAAGTCTGCTTCTCCCTCTGACTCTCTTCCCTCTCGTGCTCTCTATCTCTCATTCTCTCAAATAAATAAATAAAATCTTTAAAAAAAAATTAGTTTCTCAGTCCCACTAGCCACTTTTCAAGTGTTCAGTAGCTACATGTGGCTAGTGGCCACTGTGACTCACAGATATAGAATGTTTCCATCATCCCAGAGGGTTCTATTGGACAGTGCTGCTTGGCTGTCAGACACTCAGTGCCCACCAAGAGGTGGGTGGAGGCTGGGAGAGCCTTGGGGGAGAAAGTAAGGTTAGCTCAGGACCCCACATCAGCCTGATGAAAGGGTCTTCCCCTTTAGCCTCCACAATGGGTGATGGCTGCCCAAGGAAAGGGAAGACATGGCCAACAAAATGCTAAGTCCCTCTTGTGTGGGTTCTCGGGGGTCAGAATGAAACAGAGGAACTGGCACTGCTCCTGTTGGGTCTGAGGAAAGTGGAGAAGCGGGTGCTACGAAATCCTCTAAGGCTAGTAGTATTAAAGTCCCAATTCCTGAGCACTAACTCTATTCCAGTTCCCATGCTAAGAACCTGGTATAAACGTCCAAGGTGGGTCCAGTTACAAAACTCCATTTTGCAGAGAAGACGATCAGAGAGAGGTTAAGGGACTGCCCCAGTGTCACATAGCAGGACCAAGATGTGAGTTGGATCTCGTGCTTATGATACCACGATATCACCTCATGACAGGGACTTGTAGTGGTGGGTGAGAGTGCTTGAGGCCCCCTGAGGCCAGAAAGAGGGTTAGTCCTGTCTACTTCCCTCCTTTTCTCCTCCCTCCACCAGCAGGAGGCTTTCCACAAAGGCCGGCTGAACACATTCCCATGCGCATTTCGTGCTGGGGCTTAGGCAAAGCCCCTGGTTGGGGAGGGGGTCAGGCTACTACCAGAACCCTCCTCCCCTAGAGAGAGATGTGCGAGATATAACAATCCAAACCTCTGCAGGTGGCAGAGGAATGCACCCTGCAGGCACCAAGTACCCCGCCAGGCCGCACACTCTTCGTACCATGACCTTAGGCTGCCCCAGACTCATGCACAGGTGTGTACCACACAGCTTCTCCCAGCCTGGGAAGAACACACCCTCCAGTGGAAAGAACAGCTAAGGATAGCTTCTTGGCTCCTTCAGGTGACTGCGTACCCACACTCCAGCAAGGTCACACCTGCCCCGCCCTTGAAAGACAAGGCTCTTACTATCAGGAAATGCTTAAAAGCAGTTACTGGCTACCACGTGCTGAGCGCTTCCATTTGCTTGGCACTGTGCTGAGAGCTTCACGTGCATGGCTTTCTGGCCTAGCAGCAATCTTCTGACATAGTTATGCTTGTTGTCACCATCTTCCCCTTTTTTACAGATGGTGACACAGGTTCAGAGAGCTTAAGTCACGGGCTCAAAGTCACACAGCTAGAAAGTGGTAGGGCTGGGATTGGAACCTGTGCGTACCTGCCTCGTAGTCCTGAACCCTCTTCAACAACAACAACAACAACAACAACAACAAAACAGCAACAGCAGCAAACACTCCTTGAGCCCTGGGCCCAGAAAGATCCTAAGAGCTTTACGCAGGAGTCCCTATGATTAAGGACTATTACAGATGAGCACATTGAGGCCGTATACCAAAGTATCCAAACCTTTTTTCCCATAGCCAAACCATCCAGCAAAGGAGTTCTTTATGTATTCCAGTTAGTAACTTCTTATCAGATCGATCATTTGCAAATATCTTCTCCCATTTCGTAGGTCACTTTTCACTTTGTTGTGTCCCTCCCCTTTTTTTTTCTAATTTTTAATTTATTCCTTTGGGAGAGAGAGAGAGCACAAGCTGGGGGCGGGGGTGGACGGTCAGAGGGAGAAGCAGGCTCCCCAAAGAGCAGGGAGCCCAATGTGGGGCTCGATCCCAGGACCCCAGGATCATGACCTGAGCTGGAGGCAGATGCTTTAACCGACTGAGCCCCTGTTGTGTCCTTTTAAGCTGAACATTTTTCAGTTTGATATAGTCCTATTTGTCTATTTTTGCTTTTGTTGCCTATGCTTTTGGTGTCATATCTAAGAAATCATTACCAACTCCAATAGCATGAAGCTTTTCCTCTATGCTTTCTTCTAGGAGTTTTGTAGTTTTAGGTCTCACATTTAGGTTTTTAATCCATTTTGAACTTTTTTTTTTAAGTAAACTCTAACCCATATGGGGCTTGAACTCGTGACCCCAAGATCAAGAGTCACATGCTCTAGGGGCATGTGGCTGGCTCACTCAGTGGAGCACGCGACTCTTGATCTCGGCGGGGTGGGAGGAGGTACTGAGTTCAGAGCCCATGCTGGCTGTAGAGATTATGGGAGATTACTTAAATTAAAAAAAAAAAAAAGTCACATGCTCTGCCGACTGAGCCAGTCAGGTGCCCCTGAGCTCATTTTTTGTAGATGGCATAGGATAAGGGTCCAACTTCATTCTTTTGCATGTGGATATCTAATTTTTCCACCACAATTTGTTGAAGACATTGTCCTTTCCACATTGAATGACCTTGGCACCCTTGTCGGAGATCATTTGCCCATGTAAGTGAGGGTTTATTTCTGGGCTCTCTATTCTATTCCACTGGTCTGTGTCTGTCTGTATGCCTGTACCTCAGTGTTTTGATTACTGTAGTTTGCAATATGTTTTTGTTTGTTTTACTTTGTAATATGTTTTGAAATCAAGAAGTGTGAATCCTCCAACTTTTTCTTTTTTTTTAGATTTTATTTATTTATTTGTCAGGGAGAGAGAGCACAAGCAGGGGGAGTGGGAGAGGGGGAAGCAGGCTCCCCACTGAGCAGGGAGCCCGATGCGGGCCTCGATCCCAGGACCTCGGGATCATGACCTGAGCCGAAGACAGACACTTAACCAACTGAGCCACCCAGTTGTCCCTGTAAAGATTTTATTTTTAAGTAATCTCTACATACAATGTGGGGCTCGAACTTAAAACCCTGAGATCAAGAGTCACATGCTCCACCTACTAAGCCTGCCAGGTGCCCCAGTGTTTTACTATTTTTTTTTAAAGATTTTGTTTATTTATTTGAGAGAGGGAGGGCAAGCTGGGGGAGAGGCAGAGGGAGAGAGAGAAGCAGGCTCCCCGCTGAGCAGGGAGCTCAATGCAGGGGCTCGATCCCAGGACCCCAGGATCATGACCTGAGCCAAAGGCGGACGCTTAACCAATTGACCCACCCAGGCACCCCAGTGTTTTA